CACACCTTCTACCTAAGATGCATAAATTGGCCAAGTTTGATGATTCTAAGTCCAATAGTTTTCTAGTTATGGTCCAGACAGAATTTTTCCATATTTGGCCATAGCATCTTAATTATAGGTCAGAGCGACCTAATTATAGTGCGCGACACACCTTCTACCCAAGAAGTATCAGCTGACAAAGTTTGATAATCCTAGGCCTAATAGTATTAAAGTTATGAGCTGGACACGAGAAAAGCTAACAGACAGACGGACGGACGGACATGAAAGCCATAACATAATACGTCCCGTCTAAAGACGGGCGTATAAAAAATGGAGTCTGAACCCATTCTCTATGAAAATCTTTCATTTCTGGAAAAAAAAACATTTCAACAAACTCGGTTATTTAAATCACACTGACAAACATAAAGACAAACAGATGTTTGTGTTTTGTTTAACGTCACTCTCGAGAATTTTTCACTCATATGGAGACCCCACCACTTGCCGGTGGAGAGCTGCAAATTTTGATCTATACTCGGCACTTAGGGCCATTGAGCAGTGATGGATCTTTTTCGTGCCAGCATCTACTGCGACACGGGACCTCGGTTTAAACGGTCTCATCCGAAGGACCGGTCTCCACGTCCTACAGTGGGCTTCGAACCCGCGACGTAAGGATCAACTCCTTACTCCGCGACTCTAGAGCGGACGCTCTACCGCAGACTTCGTAGCGTAGTGGATTTCGCGTCTTACGCATAACCGTGAGCTTTGGAGAGAGTCCGAATCATCCGTGAACTTTTTTTTCTTTTTCACATACCTTAAAAACATTAGTGAAAAATGAATTATTTGTCAAGAATTTATTCAACGAAATATAGGAAGCAAATGTGTAAAAGGTTATATTGACAATATAATTTTTTTCGTGAACTTTTAGAATTGAAAAAGTCTTCTTTCAGAGCGGCACCGTTATTCTTTCATCGACCTCCATCTTCTCTTTGACCTTGACCTCACAATTTCTTATTTTTGCCTTTACCCTAGTTTCAAAGAAACAAATTATTGTTCAAGGCATTTTTCATCAAACTTCATACCCTGACAAAACAAGAGGCCCAGGGGCCACATCGCTCACCTGAGCACTATGGCTAGGAAAAAAGAAATACAAATCAGTTTAGTATTGAAAAGCTTAAATGCATAAGTGTTCCCAACCTACCCTAAAAGGGAGTGGGGGGGGGGGTATTATTTGAACAAAACTAATCTACACTTACTAAGGATGCTTACATAATTTTTTGACTGTGACATTTTTCTCTACAAGTTTGAACTTTCATTGTGGCCCCACCCTACCCCTGGAGGTCATGATTTGAACAAACTTGAATCTTCACTATCTGAGGATGCTTCCATATAAATATTACAAACAGTGGCTTTGCTGTTCTTGAGAAGACTTTTAAAGATTTTTCCTATATATTCCTATGTAAAACTTTGATTGTTCATTGTGGCCCCACCCTACCCCTGGGGGTCATGATTTGAACAAACTTGAATCTACACCACCTGAGGATGCTTCCACATAAATATGACCAATCATAGCTTTGCTGTTCTTGAGAAGATTTTTTAAGAATTTTCCTATATACACCTATGTTTAAACTTTGATCATCGATTGTGGCCCCACCCTACCCCTGGGGTCATGATTTGAACAAACTTGAATCTACACCACCTGAGGATGCTTCCACATAAATATGATCAATCATAGCTTTGCTGTTCTTGAGAAGAAGATTTTTGAAGATCTTTCCTATATTTTCTTATGTAAAACTTTGATCGTCCATTGTGGCCCCACCCTACCCCCCGGGGTAATGATTTGAACAAACTTGAACCCACACCACCTGAGGATGCTTCCACATTAATTTTAACAATCATTGCTTTGCTGTTCTTGAGAAGAAGATTTTTGAAGATTTTTCCTATATATTCCTATGTAAAACTTTGATCGTCCATTGTGGCCCCACCCTACCCCCAGAGGTCATGATTTGAACAAACTTGAATGTACACTACCTGACAATAATTCCACATGAGTTTCATCTTTCCTGGCTCATTGGTTCTTGAGGAGAAGACTTTTCAATAATGCCATTAATTATTTGTTATTTTGTAATTATCTCCCCTTGGAGGAGGGCGTGGCCCTTCATTTGAACAAACTTGAATCCCCTTCACCCAAGGATACTTTGTGCCAAGTTTTGATTGAAATTGGCCCAGTTGTTCTGGAGAAGAAGATGAAAAGGTGAAAAGTTTACGACAATATCAACAACAACGCCAACGACGATGACAGACAACGGACAAATTTCGATCAGAAAAGCTCGCTTGAGCCTTCGGCTCAGGTGAGCTAAAAATGACAAGAGGTATTCAACTGTGTCATAATTTTCTTACCTGTGCCTTCCTTATGACCTTTAACTACTTTTTCAAGATTTTTTATTAAATTTTATAGAAGGGTATATTGGTGAGAGCGATTTAACTGTGTCAAAATTTTCTGACCCTGACCTTCCTTTACTTTTCAACATTAATTTTAAATTAAACATCATTCAAAGATACATATTGATGAGAGCATCTCATCTGTGTCATTATGACCTGCTGGCTGCATCTTCCTTATGACCTTCACCTCATTATTCCTTGTTCTTCACTCAGGGTTGTCCCTAACACCCAGGGAATTTCCCCACCTATAATGACTTAAATCCCTGGTTATTCTGGTATTTCCCCCCAACCTTCTTTTGTGGGAGGAACCCCATGCCCCCTCTACTTTTTACATGTCCCCTGCTATTTCAATTCTTAGGGACAACCCTGTCATTCATCTTTGTTTCAAAAGAAACTGTTCATGATATTTTTCATACCAAATATTAAAGTTCATATACCGATTGGTGAGAGCAATTCAACTGTGCAATAATTTTCTGACATCAACATTCCTAATAACCTTGACCTTCATCTGCTCTTCTTTGTTTGTCCCTGATCTTCCCTTTGACCTTGAACTTCACTTTTTCCTCATTTTGAACCTAGTTTAGAAAGTATCTCAATGAATTCCTTGAAGGATAAATTCATACAATTCCATAATTGCAAAAAAAAAAAAAAAAAAAAAAAAAAAAAAACCCAAGTGAAAAAAATAACTAATTTAGAAATGTTTTAAAATGTTTAATTTTTCATGGTCCTAACAAATGTTAACAATATTTCAACAACAGTAAATCCTACTCCCAAACTGATGAAAATTAGGAGAGAAATGCATACAAATCAATTCTAGCTTTGTAGAAAAATATACTAAATTAGTTCATACTTAAAAAGTTAGGAACAGTCATAACAAAAATAATATAAAAAAATATTTCATTGTACAATAATACAGGTGATTGAATGAATAAGTCTGTATTCACAATGTGCCACATATAATAAACATAATTCATCAATCAGGAATTTATGTGATAAAGAGATATATGAAAGTACATTTATATGGATCATATTGAAAATAAGGGACAGGAATTGTATCCCTACATCTTACCAAAATGCTTGTTTAATTAAATGCAATGAAATGGAAAGAATTTTTATGAAGTAGCTTATAACCAACAAAGAACTGGTTAAAAACTAATTTTTATTTAATGAAAAACTCAAATCAAGATATAATTATGTATGTTCCCAGTCATTAATTAATTATACTTACAGTTTATTCTTACAATAAATGTGAAATTTTTTTTAATAAAATAAACACAGATTAAAAATGCATGCAATCAAATGCTTTCGAACTTGGATTCTGGAGTCAAAATATTTCAATATTCCCTCAAATTTACATTTTTTTTTACAATAACCTGATCAGTTTTTTCGTGGAATGCCAGATTCTATAATATCATCATAATCATCCTCTGGCTCTGAATCCTGTCTTTTCCTCTGCAAAATAAATTCATATGAAAGCAGATTTTTTTAATTTACTCAGTGTTTTTATTGTTAAAGAAGCATATCCCTTCTCTTGAAAGTCCAGATAATTAAAAACAGATTTTAGAAAAATTAAAGGAAATTTATTTACAGTACATTTAAATGTACAAAATATTAAGATCACAACCATTAATTTATAATAAAAATGACAATAATATAAAGTTTGTCAGGAATTCCTCATGAGGTATAAAAAATATGTAAAAATATGTAAAACTTTTCAAATATTTTTTATAATATATTTGTTGCATTTATAAATGTAAATGAAAAAAGATTGCATCACTGTGAACATACTGCATGCAGCATAACAATGATATGAACAGAGAAGTCATGCATGAAATACCTTGTAATAATGTAGATTTTTTAAGGTTCCACATCCCTCTGTTCACTCAAATAAAATTTTGATTAAATGATGATGATTTTCCAAAAGAAAACTAAGTTTTAATTGAAATGTGTACACTTTCAGCATACCCTGGGGTGCAAAATTTAACAGAAATTGCTTTTTAATTTGACATTTTTAAGGGGAATATTTGTCTTTAATCTCAGTGAGTTATCTTTCTTATTAGAGGGTCTGTGAACCTTAAATTAAAGAATGGAGATGCCAGGAGAGTCAACAAAATTGCTATATGTACAGCATTCCTTGAAAAGTGGAAGACTTTGCCCGATTCTTCTTGCATGTAGTAGATTCATAAGCATTGACAAGATTGTATTATAGATATCAAACCAGCACTATGACAAAATTTCATACAATAATCACTGCACACTTCATACAAAAATAAATCAAATGAAGGCACTTTCATTTTCTCTTCTTCAAATTTACAAACTTAATATTTTGTATAAATTCTGATAAAATATAAACTCACAAAGGTAGGTTGGCAATACATTCATAATACACTGTTGCATTCAAATTGAAAATAAAATGATGAAAAAAAATTCAACAAAGGCTCAGAAACCAAACATGATGATTTAAGAGTTTTTGCATTTGAAATCCGTCAAAAATTCTCAGAATGGGAAATCTGCCAATGCAAATACTGTACGATAACATATATTGCACATGATTGATATTCAAACAAAAGTCATATTCATACATCACACATTTTATATCACACTTCCTCTAGATATTCAGCTGGTACCCATCCCTCCCTCCCATCAACTCTTGCATACCACCAGTCATCCTCTGATGAATCAAGCACTTCTACAACCCAACCTTCCTTAAACCCAAGTTCTGTGTCACTTTCCGGAATAAATTCTGCACAAGTTCTGTATTTGACAGAGGAAACGGAGTTACTTCCCTCTTCAGGGGAAGTAAATCCAGAATCACACACAGGTGAAGGGGATCTTGGTCCACACCCACAAGGTTCAATGTATGTGGCTGGTGCCCATCCTTCACTGGTTCCCACCCTCACCAGCCACCAACCCTCGGTTTTTCTCAACACTTCTAATTCAACTCCTTCTTCAAATGAAACTTCCCCATTTCCATCTGCTTGATATCTTGCAATAGTTTTATAGGACTGTTGTGAAACAGATGATTTTGAAGATGTTTTTCCTTGATCAGAGTCTTCTAACTTTGCACCATATATTTTTTGAACAATTGGGGATTTCTTCGGTATTGCAGGTTTAAAATCAGTATTTGTGTCTTGTTTTCCAAGATTAGAAGATAATTTTGAAGCGAGGTCTTTTGCAAAACCTGATTTAACAAGAGACTGAGGGGAACCCCCTTCATTTTTACTGTCTTTTACTTCATTTTTAGGTAGCACTGGCTTTTTAGGTTTTGCAAGAACAGGTGGTTTTGATTTCGGCTTGCATGATTCTTTTTTCCAACCTGGCTGGAAACTCTTATCAGTTTTGTTTGTTTTTGTCACAGCTGTCCTAGAATCCTCTTTCCCCCCTGTCTTATTCACATCTATTTTAGGAGGGAGAATTGGTGTTTTGTCCTCACTGATGGTTTTTTCTGGAACTATAGGCTTTGATGGAAAGGATTTCTTTGGCTTTTCTACAGCACTATAGTGCTGTGATGATGTTACTTCAACATTTGATTGTCTTCTGAGCCTTGCTTGTAAAGCATTCGCTAATTCTGAACTCTCCTCCTGCATGCTCAATCTTTTATGGGCTGACTCATTCTTTGTTGGTTTCAGATGAATAGCAGGTTTATCAAATTTAGGGGGCAATCCCGGCTTTTCTTGTTTTGGAACTGTTTTGTTTGAAAAATCTGGATTTGATTTTGCTTGGCACAGAGGCAGCTGGGAAATCTGTACACCAGTCTTTTTAGGGAAAGTATTAAAAATTGAACTATCTGTATTTTCATTTTCTTCAGTTGTAGTTTTCCGAGATTCAAACTTTGCCTTCAGTATTTCAGCTAAATTATTCCCACCATCACTATGGATTCTCTCTCTTGACACCTGTGTTGGCACTGAAGGCTCAGGGAAGCTTCGTTCAGTTTTGTCTGGTCTCATTGGTAATTTTGGTGGTAGAATTGGTTTCTTATCTGAATCTGAACTTGAGCTGGATGACTTTGCTTCTAAATCAGGTTTTGAAACCTCCTCTGATACCCTTGCTTCTAATTTATTCTTTAATGCAGCAGCAAGAGAGGAACGGTCTACAGGGGGTGGCTTTGGACTGCTGTCCCTATTTGCTACAAATCCAATGGGTGGGGGAGGAGGTTTTGAAGTTGGTCGTTTAATGGCATTGGGATTCTTTCTGACCCTCAACTCAGCCTGGCTAAGCGGCCGAACAGAATCAAGCTTCTCCTTAACCAGATCTGGTGGTTTGGGTAAATTAGGCTGTTTAGAAAACACAAAATTAGGTTTTTCTCCCTCCCCATTATTATTGACTGGGACTTCATATTTAACCTCTTCATATTCATTATTACGAATCATGGAGTCAGGATGCTCGTAATCTTCTTCATCATCACTATCAATTGCTACTTCAGAATAGTTTTCATCATTAGGAACGTAATCCTGAGAAATGAAGAAAGACAGTGGATAGGAGAGAGAATATACATTTATCTTCAGACAGATTCTCTGATTTGTATACAGTTTAATCACACTAACAATAATTTTTTTCCACAATATTTTTTAAATTTAAGTCTGATTTTGAAAGACTTAAAAATAATGAATAAAGTGCCATTTTTTTTTTCTATCACAGGAAATCTGTCTGATATACATGCAATACAAATTTTTAAAGTAAATATAGATAGTTACATAAGGAAATTATTGCTTTAAATAAAAAAGATAGAGATTACAATGTATTTTTACATATTAATATATCAATTAAAAGTTATATTTTTGTATTATATATTCAAAATGCTTTGTTAAATAAAGAACCTTTATTATAGGAGAAACATGCCCATAAATGTTAACTTTTATTTAAATTAATTTTGATGTTTGCCAAAAATATTTAAGAAATTAAATACTTACATGTACAATTGTTTAAAGCTTATTTGGATATGGTCAACAATAGATCAACAACAGAGAAAGTCTGCACCACAAATAGATATCTCCTCTAATTATTTTATGAATATGGATAATATCTAATCACACAAACTATGGAAAATAAAATATGCAGATGCAGGCTTTCCTGTTTCACTTGAACAGATGTCCTTTTTGATATTTTTAATCTATATATACCTCCTGTATATCTCCCATCTCCCTGCCTTCTATATAAGTAGAGGGGGCCCAGCCCTCATTATTTCCGATCCTCACAAACCACCAACCATCAGCTGTCTTCTGTTTGACCTACAAAAAAGAAATCTTTTATTAAGCAATATTTTTTTTTGTTTTTATGAAGTCAGAAAATCTGCACAAAATCACTTGACTCTCAAAAGAAACACTGATACAAACATCTCACCTCAACACTTTCACCTTTTGAGAAGCTGATACCATCCCCAACTGTGTCCGTAAAGTCAGCAATAGTTACATACTGAGTTTTCTTCTGTTTAGGGGGTTTTATATCTATTTTAATCTGAAAAAAAAAGAATCATCAGAAACATGCATTTTCCATTAATTTTATCATTTTTGGAGTTATTTCCCTTATCATGATATTTCAAAGTACTTACATTTTTGATTGAGTTCTGTCTGGGAGGTGGCCTGATGGATCCTCCCCTCTCTAAGGACAGGGACTTTTTAGACAGGTAGGGTTTGGTGGGGTGAGGTGGTGGGTCAGGTTCATCATCCCATGAGTCATCCCCATTATCCTGCATCAGGTCACTGATGTCTTGAAGTCCCCCCACAATCTGGACACCCGAGGCACGAGCTACTCTCTCCATGTGAGCTTTCTCAGCCTTCATCATGTATGTCGCAGGTGCCCATCCCTCTTTTCCTTTTTGTCTACAAATTGTAAATTTTCATCATTTTATCCTTTTTAACAGGCCAAATCTGTTCCATCAGAGATGTACACATCTTTGTGCCCAATTCATAAACATACAATCATCCACACGTTTTTTTTTTAATTCTTTATAAAATAAGATCTGAATATTGATAAACTACTCTTAATGGTTAAGGGAATGAATTTTTGAATCATTTTCATTTTCATCATGGATTTATATTTTTGGATTAAATTCCTGTAATTTTTGTTCTTTGAAACCTTTAGAAACCAAATTAAAGAAAATGCAGATTAAATGATATTGTGCTGCAAATGGTGGATTTGTAACACAGTATGATGTGAAAGGCAAATGTAAAATTTGCCGATTTACAGCTTAAACTCACCGGATCCACCACCAGCCGTCCAGATTTTTCTCGATGACCTCCACCACTGTCCCCTTCTCCAGAGGTAGCTCGTCTGAATTGGAGGGGTAGTAATCATCGGTACAGATGTACTGTTCCTCTAAAAATCATCACAGAATCATTAGCCACACTTCCTGAGTAAAACTAGTGAGTACCATTCTACATGTAGTTCTCCGAGGAAAACGGATATTAAATTACTGTAAACTTTTCTGATGATTCATATCTGTGTTATTGTATTTTTTATCCTCATGAATCAATCAAGGAACAAGTAATTTAACAATTATAATGATTCTGAAAAAGTTAGTGAAGTACATAAAATTACATTAAAAGGTAAATATCTAAAGAAGATTTTTTTTAAATACTGTTTGATAATTAAACGTAAACCGTAGATATTTTTCAATTAAAATTGTATTAATAGGAGTTAATTTTTCAACTTACTGGTATAGAGGGTTATATTATTTTTAATCCACTGGATTATATTAATGATTTTTCATGAAGCAAGCAATTTGAAAGCATTTATAAAACAGGTTAGCTGGATCTAAAAAAATATTCCATGGGTAGTTTTCATTTCTACTGAAGTCTTTATTCTGCATGGCGATTTTGGTGAAAAATCATTTCATCTGTATATCAATGCTGCAAGTATGGCCCCAATAGAAATTCCACATACATACATTATTTGACTCAACTTTTATTGAATTGAAGTTATATAACTTTACAAGAGACAAAATCTGTAACAAAATATTGATCTGTTTTTAATCACTATTACAATATCTCCTAATTTAAAAACAGATATCAGTTTAGATTTCTAGTGCAGTGTACATTATAAATAAGTAAACATTTCCCACATGTTGGGTTAATAGGAATTGTAAGTTCATATTTCATGCAGTTAATGTTTCGATGACCCACACTTAAATAGACATAAAGGGGAACAAGTCATAAGAACAAGAGTTATATTAATGGTTTTCCAATCACCTTCCCCCGGCCTCGCCCGTTCGCTTAGTTCCTCTTTGATACCATCCGCCCTTTTAAGATAGGTACTGGGGACCCATCCTTGTTGGTCCTGGACGTGGACAAACCACCAGCCTGAAATTTTACCACAACCACAATACTACAGAGCTTGCTGACAAGGAGTTTTATAATATATATCATGTACATCCCCTCCCCAACACAAATAAAATAGACAGCTTCGTCAAGTAAGGGATTCAGGTATAGCCTAGTTGCAGAGGTTTACATGTCCAAGTTCATTTGTACTTGTTCATGTTTTCCTTTCTAAATGCTAAAATGTTTTAAAATTTATAAAAATATTTTGCTACTTAGTATTGATGTAGAAAGGGAAAATAATATGAAACAAAACAGGTCGACTTTTTCTACATAAAGTAAACTAATTCTTTATGATGAATTCAGAAAGGTCATTCCGTGCTGTTTCATGTAATTATCATCTTTGTCAGCAAACTACCATAGATATGAAATAAACCATGACACCAGAACAGTTTTTTTTAAAAACAAATTTTTACCATAATTATGACTCTCTCCGTTTGAGTCATTCTGATAATAGAAGACACCTCTTATATCTATATCGGTGTCATTCTCATACAGAACGACAGACTGTCTATCAAATACACTGTCATTGTCTGCTACTGATTCATTGGTTACTATCGTGTTCAAAGGGAAAAAAATTACAAAAAATAAGTATTGAAAAAATATACAAACATGTAAAATCATGCACATTTTCATAAAAAATTATAATAGACAGAACCTCTTTCTCATATTTAGACATAAATGCAGCAAATAATAAGCCCTCCAAAAATCAGAATCGTTACAGAAAAAAGGAAGATAATAGACCCAACCCAACCCAAAGCAAAACTTGAAAAATCATTCTGAGGCATATTTTTTAAAGTCTTCAGTATCAGCTTTCATATCCTTACACGTCTTTCTCAAATTGTGTCTACTGAACATTGCCGTTATACAATGAAGATTTACCGGGTATTGTTAACTTACTAGACCTAATGAAAATCTTCACTGAAATTTCCTTCTTTATTGTGAATCTCTTTTCCCTTTGAAACTCTCACACAAAAACATTATGATATGTTAGTTTCTATACATCTAAATTAACCCCAAAACAGAGTAAATTTACACATGAGTCTTTTAAAACTACAATCCAGAAAGTGATAAGCTAAGGAAATGGGCTTTGGTTCAGGAATGTTTTAAGGATAAAATCAGCTGTTACATCATTACAGAAGACTCTGGGTTTATACAGTCTAAGAACATCCAGATCTGGCAATACCTACCACTTTCTGTTTTCTCTATAACCTCAACCTCAGTGCCAGCTTTCAGATTTAAGTCCCATTTATCTTCCTTCGTGTAGTCAGCTATGGCCCTGTACTGTTCGCCAAGTCTGGGCTCGGAAATCTTACTCGCTGTGTCAAAAGTCGCTTTTTTCTTTCTTCTGCAAAAAATACAGATATGCAAATCAAAATAGACCTAGGTGCTGGTGAATTTAATACTGTAAATCAACTATTTTTCACAATAATTTTTATTCACAATTTGTCAGTTTAATGTCCATCTACAATAAAATTTCCACCACTCAGAGGAAACTGAATTCCTCATAAATACATAATTATAAAGAAATGTTAAAGGTAAGAAATATTCTTAAGTAAAGAGAGTTGCAAAATCTGCGGATAATTCTAGTGCACTTAGTAAAAGTATGTTTACAGATTTTTTTTTACTCTTTGTGATTCAGTAGGATGTACCTTATATACCATACATACATGTATGTAATATGATAATCAACCAAAAAAAATATTGCATAGTGTATAAAGATTATGTAACTACAAACACTATATTCTGCTTTCAAAGAAACTTAATTCTGATGGTTGGGATATCCAAGTAAATTGTATTAAAATATTTCACCTAAAAAGAATTCTATTTTACATTAATGATTTCCTTATGACAACCTTTATATATATAGTTGGAGTTCTTTTAATCCAGTTTACTGCACACAAAAAGAACTTAAAAGATTCATTTTAAAACTAGCTGTTAAAGATAATGCAAACATAAATTTGGGTGATAATAAACCATATTTTTCATGCATGTTCCTTTTTCTTTTTCAGATGGATAATAAGATGTACTGCTATACAATAATGTACCAGTATCCATATACATGTACAAGCAAATGCATAAAGGTAACATTACAGCTTTTCATACAGACATTTGGTAAAAAAAAATTTTCGTACAGAGGTGTGATCCCTTTAAACTGTTGTCCTTAAATGATAGCAATGTCCTTAATAAACTCAAGTTGGTCATTTAATACAATAGTCCATTCTTCCTTTATTGTGTTCATACAGTAACATGATTTCCTGTTTCTCCTACATACATGGATATACACGGACTACCAATCATCTTCATTGACGAGGGGTGACTATAAGTGTATTACGTTAATGTTCCTAATAAAACATTCCTATCCTACATATAAACAACTCTGTCACACGTCAGACATATCAAGCCTCATGTTAGATTTCACGTCTTACAATTAATGAATATATTCCTGACGCTTAAATTCTCTTTAGGCACAAAAAAACTTTATTATAATTGTGATACTCATTATCAATAGATACATCTGTATTTAGCACTCTTCACCTAATCAAAAATACTGTAAAACTGAAATGACTGAAAATTCAGTTTTTAGTATAAATTTATGAAGTGTAGCAAACAAACACAAAATTTAAACTAGCTAGATTTCAGTCTCATATAATTATATACTTTTTTTTTCTTTTTTAAAGTATCCAATAATTAATGTCTTCTGACTGAATTACTTAAGTTTCCTCTCAAACCATTCTGTCTCCTCCTTAGTCATAACCAAAAGAATCAGTGGATGAATGAATTAACAAGATACCTGCACAAGGTACAAGAATAAGTCCAAATAAACTCCATCAGCATACTGAAAAGGGACGGGGTGTCTTCCCCTTCTATAACAGGGGGCTCCCGACTCACATTGGACATGATAATATAATCAGAGTCGGAATTCTCCGACAAAACTTCTAGATTATCAAGGTTAATGTCCATTATTCCATTAATCTGTAATTTATATAATGAAATGGAGTCTATCCCTTCTTTCACCACGCAAATTGCATTTCATTCATAATCTTCTCTCCAAAGGAATGCATGTTAATAGTTCTCTTGTTCTACCTAACTTAAGCATGTTGGGCAATTTGAATTCCATGTTCACAAATTTATAGTCCAATTAAAAATGAAAGATTCCTTTAGTTTTTTTACTGCTACAAGAAAAATCACAATGAACATCAGCGTATTAAATCAATGCACCCCAGACACCTGTGATGTTAATTAAGGAAGGAGAAATACATCCCTGTCTATCCCTGCCTGGGTGCTTAATGATCAGTCTTCCCGATTGACAGGTAGATCCACCCTGGGGCCTCAACATCCAATACATTAGCAGAGAATTGTGTACAATTATATAACAGTACACTGTCGTTTCGTGAAAGTTTACAGAGAGTGTGATAATTGATGTAATAAATTCATTATATCATAAAATTTTGGAATCTACAAGTAAATTTAAACTGTCAGAATTAAATATACTAAACACCTTTTAAACATCAATTAACATAAGAAAAAATTATTTAAGACATAAGATATTACATATTACTTAGTCTTTAAATTTCATTTTCAAATGATTATGAAGTTAATTTAAAGTCACAATAATAAGTCTTCATAAAATACAAACTGATTTTCACTTTCCATCTAAGTATTTTCAATTGATACTGAACATTACAAAATACATCAAACAATTAAATTTTGGAAAACATCTGTATTTATAGTCAAGACACCTTTCAGAAAGAAACACAAATGTTGCATACAAAATATGACTGTTATAAATGTTTCATAAACCATGGAAACCTATCATAATGTTACACAAATTTATGTTAGCTTGAATGACATCCCTATAATCTCATTATTCTCAATATCTAACAGGCTGTTACTTTATATTTATATAGTGTAGTTATACATACTGCATAGCCTAAAGTTATTTGAATGTGTTGTAAAAGTATCAAGTGTAAATACCTGTATAGTTAAACAAATAGAGAGTTTATCTTTGTTTAGTTTCCCACTCCTTTGTATACAAGAGCCCTATAAGAGATAATCCCAATTATAACACCAAGGACCTCCCTAAAATAGTCCTGCCTACACTTTGAAATCTTTCTACAGTCAAACCTCGTTATCTCAAACTCAATGGGACTTGGAAAAAACTTCGAGATATTTAGGGTAAAAAACTAAAATAAAAAGGGCTTGGGACTTTCCATTATCACTTCAACATATCCATTGTATTCCAGATATCCATGTTCGAATTACCGAGGTTCAACTGTATATGTTTCTATTTCATTATTGGCCGCAGGAGTGGCCGATCTATTTGTTGTTGTGTTAGAAAGTGCGCATGGAGAAATGAGGTGCTATTTCTTATTTAGTTTGGTAAATTAATTCATTCATGATAACATGTATTAAAATTAGAGTAAAATAATTTAAAAACTTGATTTAAATAAAGTCTTAAATGTTGTTATTATCTATTATTTTAATTTTTGTTCTTCTTCAAATGATTATTAATTTATGATTATATACAATGGGTTTACAATAGGTACTCCCCAACTTGGGAGAGTGTATGATATGAGCACAAATCGTTATGATTTTTCGGATAATAATTACAGTGGTAAAAGTGATGAATAAAAAAAATAAAAAAGTTTGTAAAACTAGTAAAAATAATTTTGTATATGCTACAGCTGCAAATGAAACAAGGATATTTTTCTACACTTTGCATTTTATTGTGTTGTCCATCACCGCGCCATGCTGCATAGTCTGCAGGAATCATCGACATGATCACATGACAAAGATCAGGGTATCCGCATGTGGTTCATCTGTAGATTTGAAGATAAATAGACCAACAATTTTTATCATCATATACACATTACTGATTTTCTCATCGATGAATCAGTTTGATGAACAAAAGCACTGATTCAGAAATTCCTTTTTTTTCTTGCAATTTTTCATCTTTCTTTCTTTTTTTGGGGGGGGGGGGGATTGTTTCCTGAAATAAAAATGTTAACTCTTTCAGCTTTGAATATCTTGCACTTTCCTTAAAAGCTTACTTGTGAAAATACTTTTTTTTAATGCTACATTTTGTTTGCGGCGGATTTGATGCTTTGCATCAATTTTACTTGTATAATATTGTATTAGTACTGTTAAAGCTCAATTATAATTACCAACTACAAATCGTCTATGAACAGGAGAGATGCTGAATTATTATCCCCTCGCAATGAAGTTGAGCTATGCGTGCATAATGGAAGTTATGCAAGTAATCATTTATTAATATGTGTGCTCTTTTGCTGTGCCCTTGTTGAAAATTATTTTAAGAACTATCAGGGGTATATCTAAAAGCTGCAGACTGCAACTCTGCTTTAAAAAATCATACTCAAAGAGGAAAGAGGCTCCAAATCACATAAACAAAGAGGAAAAAGGCTCAATTATTAAAAATTATGATAAAACTATATATCTTTAAATCTCAGGCTACAACTTTTTAAGCCTTCAAGTTGTTATTTTAATTTCTTCTTTATCTCTCAATCTTTCTCCTTGCTAACAATATTAGAGCTGATCCCACCAAGCTATACATTTCATATCACTCCCAAACAGTGATTCTTTTTTTTTTTTAAACATGTTAATTATGTTGCCTAACATGAAAAGAGCATGTAAACTCATGTTCAGAGATGAGTACACAAAAAAAGTTACATGTGTCATTTCAAATATAACAGAAAATTTGCAACTTTAATATTTCTGCCTGATTCTAAATACAGCAATCAGACAGTTCTTTTTTTTTTTTTTTTAAATTTAACCAGTCTACTTTCAGTGGGACTAGTTATCACCAGTAAAAGGAAACATCTGGATTTTCTAGGATATTTTAGTACTGTACATGTATCAATTTACAGCCACAAACTTTGTAAGATTGGGAGACTGAATCTAAATGTTAAATTAGAATTTGGTAGCTTTTAGGAAATTTCATGATAACTTTGATTAAAGGTTGTTAATAACAAAGAGATGATAGATGTAAGAATTAGGGATACAGGAAATAAAGGTAATTGTTAGCATGATTACAGCTTAAAAAAATTATTTCCTATATAAATCTACATGAAAAAAAGTCTATCATTTCAAGTGTTTTACTGAGCAGAGAAAGAAGTTCCAGATATCCAAGGACTTGAAATATCAAGGGTAAAATAACGAAAAAATTTATTAGACCTTTAAATCACTTCAACATATCTATGTTATTCAAGAGATACCGATCTGTTTGACCAAATTAAATCCACAGTACTGTTAAATGAAATTTAAATCAATTATTGGAAACATGATATGTTAACACAAGTGGCCCATGGGCTACATAGCTCACCTGAG